ATAAATATTTTAAACACTAAAATAGCTCAAAAACGTGCCGGATCAAAAATTACGTGCTTACAGTTTTCAGTACACATATGAGCAATTAAGAGTTAAGCACGTAGAGGTTTGTCATAATAGCCTTCGTTTGACTTTGACTTGAAGTCGAAACATTTTTAATGCACAACCCATACTTTGAACACATTCTCAAATGATAACATAACACGATAAAAGTATTTGGGATACATATTGATCATATATCTTTCAACACAAGCTTATTCAGAATAGTTAATTTTATAATGAACAACTCGGGACTTACATAAATTACACGAATACCGTGTGATTCAGTTTTTAAGAGAGGAATTTAGCCAACATACCTCGCTTTGAGCTTTCCTTAAATTACTACAACATTCCGAAAATCCTAGAAATTCCAATCTATTTTGAGACATAACAAAATTGAACACAAATTAGGAAGATATTCATTGTTTCAGCTCATTTGAGCATTTTATCAAACACTAGGTGTGCACATTTGGCCACAAGGTTCTTCTACAAGATTTTCTTCATTCTACAACACAATCTTTACTTATTTGAGCTCAACAATCTTCCCACAAACCTTATTGGTACATACGTGTATACATAATACTCTCACACCCAAGAATCATACTCCCAATCACCAATCTTTTACCCTAAACTCGAAATTGAAGATTAGGGTTAGAACCTTACCTATTGAGTGAAGATCTTATGAGATTTTTGTGTTGGATTTCAAAGCTTGGACAAGATCTTGATGAACAAAGAACTTGAGCTTCTTCCTCTCTCTACAACACTCTCACTTATCTCTAAAATCATCACATAATCGTCCAAAAATAAGCCCCAAAGGCTATTTATAAAAATGAGGTCGGGTTATAAAAATCAGAAAATGGACCCTCCGAACTCAGGTCTGCGGTTGCAGAATGGACCGCATAATAGGTATGCGGTCCGCAAAATGGACCGCAAAGCTGATGCCCAGAACTGGGTTGCACTGGTCAGGTCTGCGACCGTTCTGCAGTCCGCAGACCACTTATGTCGTCGCAAAATGAATTATGCGACCGCAGAATTGGCGCAAAATAACTTTCAAAATCCAACAACTCTTTGCTCAACTATGCGATCGTTATGCGGCCCGCAAACTTATTCTGCGGTCGCAAACGTGACCGCAGAATCGCTTTCTTTTGCCAAAAAATTTCCATCAACTCTCAGTGCATTCTTCAACCCAAAAAGTTCGTACCGCGGTGAGCTTGCGAGCCGCGAAGAATTTCTACAATCCTCAAATACGTAAGCCTACCTCTGCACCACGAAACCTTAAATTCTTTTACTAAATTTTACGGGGCCTTGCAATCCATCAGATCTTCATATGTGTAGCCAGCAGCTTCAACAGTCTTCTTTGCCTTAAACACCTTGACCACCATCTAAGAAGCATTTCTAGGTTTAACCTCCCATGAGTGTTTTCTCTTCACATAGTAATTATGGATCCACTTGATCCATAATCTATCTTTTTTTCTTACATAAATCCCAAAAGTATTTGCATATAGAAGCCTTATTCCATATATAGATATCAATCACATTAAAAACTTCAACTGATTTGGGCAGACTTTGTCCCATGAAACTAATGCCTTCCTGGTTATCTCGTTTCCTCCAGTCCAGAGAAATCTTTTACACACAACTTCAATTTGTTGTATGATCCTTTTTGGCATGATAAATATCTGGCACCAAAACGTTTGCCTAGAGAAAATAATACTTTTTATCAGTTGTAGCCTTCTCGCATATGACAGGAATTTTGAAGTCCATGAAGTGATTATTCCTACCATTTTGTCTAGTAAAGGCTGACATTGTGAAACTGATAATCTCTTAGTACTGAGGGGCATTCCTAGATATCTTACTGGTAACTCGCCTTCAGAGATTCCCAAAACTTCCATAATTTCCTTCTTCTTATCATCAGAAACTCTACCAAAGAAGATGAAACTTTTATGCTTGTTGACTATTAGACGTGAGGCATGGGAAAATTGCAGAAAACAGTCATATAATAATTTTACTGATCCTCTATCACCCCTGCAAAACAAGAGAAGATCATTGGCAAACCCAAGCTGCACTATTTGCATTTATCACATCTGGGTGATAGTTGAAATCATGTATTTTCCTCAAGGTCTTCAGGTTTCTGGTTAGGTATTCCATTAATAATACAAAAGAGAAATGGCGGCAAAAGATCTCCTTGTCTTAGTCCTCTCCTGTCATCAAAATGTGGTGTTGGTTTTCCATTCAGTAGGATAGAATAAGACACTGTATTGACACAACTCATAACCCATTTTACAAACATATCCGGGAATGGCATACCAATTAGAATTTGTTCTACAAACATCCACTCAAGAGAATCGTGCGCCTTCTGCATATCCAATTTCATCGTGCATCTTGGTGAAATTCCTTTTCTTCCATAACCCTTAACTAATTCATGGCTAAGTATTATATTATCTGTGATCATCCTGCCTGGCACAAAAGCCGACTAGCAATTGTCCACCAAATCATTCATAACTATCTGTAGACTCTTCGTTAATATCTTAGAAATGAGTTTGTATACGGTAGCGCAGCATGAAATAGGCCTATATTCTTTTATGGATGCTGGATTTTTTTACCTTTCGAATCAGTGTTACTGAAGTGCAATTCGCAGCTCTAAATATAGTAGCAGTCTTGAAGAAATCTAAGACAGCTTCTGTAACCCCATTACCTATAATTGTCCATGCGTTTTTGAAGAAGAAAGCATTCAATCCATCACAGCCAGGGGCTTTCATATCATCTATATCCAATAGAGCATGGTATACTTCATCTCTGGTAACTGGTCTGATCAAATCTCTCTGTTGTTCCCTATTCAATGCAGGACCTTGTTTCATGACAGTAGGATTAATAGCAAATAGTGTAGATGTTGTTGTCCCAAGTAGCTTCTTGTAAAATTCTATGACTTCATCTTTTATTTATGCTTCAGAATGAATTATATCTCCTTGAGTGTTTGTCAGACTTCTAGTGTAATTTTAGAAATATATACTCTTCATATTTGCAAAGAAATAAGCCGAGTTTGAATCACCTTCCTGGATAGATTATCCCAGCTTCTCCTGAACTTCATTCAACTGTTTTCTTATTTGTTTCATCCTTCTATCCACTCCATGAAATTGTTCAAAATTGAGTTTCTTCAACCCTTGTTTAATTAGTTCCAACCTATTCCACACTTTTTTCACGTGGTTTTCTTCGGTATATGTATGTCAACCTTCCTCTACTACTGTTAAGAATTGTTTATGCTCAGCTATGCAATTGAAAAACTTGAATGGTTTCCCTCTTCTATCTATTTGTCCAGCAAAGTTGATCCTCAAAGGAGAGTGATCAGAAATATGCGGCTCTAATATCTAGATTATCAATGTTGTCATATTATTCATCTATGCAGCATTTACTATAGCTTTGTCGATCCTGCTAAAAGTATGGTTATTTGTCCAAGTATGTTCCCTACCGATAGTTTGCAGTTGTACCAAACCATTATCCACCATGAACTCCCTAAAGTCCCTTGTTTCATAATCTTGAACTTGTGTCCCATGTAATCTGTCCTCCTGATTCAGCACAACATTGAAATCGCCAATGGCAATCCATGGTCCTTGTTGTGTGTTCACCAATATCTGGAGTTTATCCCATAAGTGTCTTCTGTCTTGTATTGTGTGAAGCCCATATATAGCAGTAAAAGCAAAGTCCAGCTTCAATTCAAAGATTCTTACTTGACTATGTATATATTGTGCATCCATTTCAATTAGTGTAAACTCCACAACTCTAGGATCCCAAACTAACCAGATTCTCCCTTTATTATTCATACTATAGTTTGATATCCATTTCCACCCAGAAACTATTTTTTGGATTATTTTTGTCTCATTTTGTGTTGCTACTCTATGTTCTAGGATGGCAAATAGATCCATTTTATTCTCTTTAGTAGCTACTTTCAACTCCTTCTGCTATTATGCCTTATTCACCTCTCATATTTCATGTAAATAAATTGATGTTGGAATGAATGAAGAACTAGCCAACCCCTCAGAACCTCTATTACTACTACTTCATTTCAGCAATTCCTCTATAATAATCAGTAACACGCTGATTATAGTCCACTGCTACACCATTAGTATTGCTAGTTCCTGCGAGTTGATTCTTTGGTTCAGTCAGAAGATTAAAGACATTACTTAAATGCTTCTTTCATCAGTTGTGGTTGTTTTAAAAGGTTTAGCAGTTGATTTGACTGTAACAATTTGCTACCCCTCTCCCTACTTCAAACCAGAATCTTCCCATGCCTTCTCTTTATTCATTTGCTTTGTTTGGACATTAACAGGTCATGATTTCACTATGGGTGCAACATTCACTGTTACTCATGTTTCCTTATTCCTCCAAGCTAGCTTAGGTCTGTCATTTCTTCTTCCCGCGGGGTGAATTCGGGGTTTTTGGTTATTCTCAAGAGCATAAGTATGCCCAATTTTTAGGTAAGTAACACAGTAAGCAGGTTCCCATTCATACGCAACCTCTTGTTTAAATGCTCCACCATTGGGATCTTGTACTTTAACACTTTTCGGCAAGGGTCTTGTAACATCCATCTCCACAAATAGCCTAGAATATGATATTCTAGCAGAGCTAGTTGTACAATCATCTGCATATAGAGGGTTGCCAAGCGCACTACCAATCTTGCTAAAAGACTTCATGGTCCAACAATTAAGAGGCAAGTTTGGTAACTTAATCCATAATGGAATAGTATTTAAAACTTCCTCGTATAGATTGAAATCTGGAGTCCAAGCTTTCATTATTACTGGTCGGCTGTTAATAGTGTGAGGCCTCGAGTACAATACCTCATTTCTCTCCTCCAAGTTCTGGAATCCAATCACAAAGTAATCTTCATTATGGTAGTAAATTTGTGGCTTCATTGCAAATTTCCACTGTGACACCAGAAACCTTTCCATGGCTCATATTGTTAGAGATTCTCCAATAACATATAGGATTATAGCTGAGCTCCACTTCTCATTCTCAATGTCTTCTGGATCAAGTTGAACTATTTTTTCCCCTTTGTGAATCAGCGACGCTATAAATTACAAATTCATACCCCTCGAAGCCATTTTGTTACTTGTAACCACACCAACCCATGATTATGTACCAGAATTAGTAGGGTTCAGTTCAGTTTTCCTTTGCACCTCGCCTGCCCTTGTTTTACAATTATCTCCACCCATTCCAGCTTTAATCCCTAGTCCACTATGTACTTTCTCCACTGATTTAGCATCAATCGGCCTGGAATTACCTTCAGTCGTAGTCAATTTCAGTTTTCCTATGCTTGTCTCCACCTCTGTGGACTGAACAGTCCTGTTCCTTTATCATGAGCGCTAGTATATTCTTTCCTCCTCCTATTACTTCCCTTGATGAATTACCACCGGTTGAACTGGAATTATTCCCAATTATGATTGAAGTTTGCTTCCCTGGACTAGGTGTTGCTCATGCATGTTGGATTTTTTGCTCATTCACCATGGCCATCGGTGAGCCCTTTTCTCCACCCACCTCAAGTACTACTCCTTTTGGAGATGTAGTTATGCCCTTCCCTAGCTTTCGTTCATCAGTCAGCCTTGGATCCGTACTTGGAACCTTGTTTACGCTATACCGGGGTCTTCCTATCCCCATCCCGATTAGAGGCTCACGTTAGAAAGAGTTTTTTGACTAGCCATAGATACCGAGATTTTTTCAGTATCTCTCATTACTATGTTAGTAAATACAATGATAGGCACAATATCTTCTTTTTCTTGTTTTTCTTCTTCTTCATAATTCAAATGATAGGCACAATCAAACAAGTTCATTAATTAGATTAATATCCATGACAATACTATTAAAACAATCTTTATTTGTCCATATTTTAACATAATTTTGCTTCAGTTTAATCATAGCGAGGTCACATCAATACATTGATATCTTCCAAATTGCTTCTTCCTTCATTCATTTACTCATCCATTTTAACCTTCTCATTTTCCATCCATATATATAACTTCATACTACATCGATCCTTCTCTAGTTACTTCATGTTTGCAAGGCTCAATTCCTTGACACACTTTGCAAATAATCACTATTTTTAAGCCATTTCTTCAACAATAGTTCATATAAACATTTTCCTTTTAACTCATACAAATAATTTAGTATTTTTTACTTCTGATTAACGAAATATAATGTGTGAGATAAGCTAATGCCTTAATTCATGTGCTAGTCCACACTTAAAAGCTGGCTTGCGAAGCTAAGTGAGAGAGTCATATCACTAATAGATCGAAACGTCAGAGTTACTGGCTCCTCATAACTCATTAATTTTGGGCAATCATGGGGAATATTTAAATGCCATATTTCAGGCAGCACACTTGACTTAAGAAACCTTATTAGCTAAAATGAGACAAATTACCTTAGCAGCAACGTAACTTCCAAAGATTTGCGGTACAGGTCATTGCTTGGATATATCATGCAATCGAAGAGAACAAAAAGTTTAGGCTCATCTTATGGGATTGAAGGTTGGTGAATGTGAAATGGAGGGAAGAAATGTGAAGAGAAAGTGAGTTCTCTTATGTTTTGGAAAGAGCAATTGTCCCTCATTGGTGGTGGAAAGAAAAATGAATGTGCTTATATTAAGAAAGCACTTCTCTTGGTATTAAATGGGTTGGAAAGAAGGTAAGTCCCGCGCCGTCATCGTCGCTCGCTCGATTTGGCTTCGGATTGATTAATTTTTTTGGACAAAATTTCTTTTAATAATTTAATTAATTATCGACCCGAAATAACTCTGGACCCGCGCGTGACGCGACCTGGTCCATTTATGTTCCAACAACCATGGCTGTTTCTGAAAGGTTGCAACCGTTCTATCCTGGGAGGATAATATTCCAACACCTCGGGTACTTAAGAGAAATAATTTTCTTAAGGACACACTGTGCATTCAGTGGGCTCAATTTCATTCCAAATTTATTTTTTCAGATTCTGTTTTGATTATTACGAGATTCTGTTTTACTGTTGATTTTCTGTTTCTGGTTTCTGTTACAGAAAATTTACTGTTTTCTAATTTTATAATTAATAAAGATTGATAACAATCTTAAAAAAATTATATTTATACTATAATCTGTATTATGTTTTTCAAGATTAAAACCTTTGTGGTTTTCTACTCCTTTTGAATTTTTCTATTTTTGATTTGAAGATATAAAAACTTCATCCGAGTATTAAAATTCAGAAACGATTTGAAGAACATAAAAAATTCATCGTTTTCTTATGAAACGGTATATAAAAACTTCGATTTTTGTTTATTAAACGTACTGTTTATTGTTAGTTACAATACTGTTTACTGTTTTATTTTCTTCCATTAATTGAATTATTCTATTGTTGACGGTGAGAAATTACAATTGAAAATGAAAATCCTTCTGCGACCGTTGCGGCAACGACAATCGCCTCGTTAAGCCGAGCTGTTGTGACACCGGCCGAAAAATCGGAAAAATTTTCTGGAGCCAACTTCAAAGGATGGCAGCAAAGGATGTTCTTTTGGCTTACCATGTTTGGTATACAGAAATTCATCAGTGAAGACCCTCCAGTGCATGCCTCCGACATGCAAGACAATAAAAAGTTTATGATTGTTGAGGCGTGGAAACACACAGATATTTTTTGCAAAGACTATATCCTAAGTGCTTTGGAAGATGATTTGTACAATGTCTATAGTGCTATGAATACTTCGAAAGAATTATGGGATGCATTTGAGAAGAAGTATAACACTGAAGATGCGTGCTTGAAAAGGTTTGTGGTTACCAAGGTTCTTGACTATAAAATGATAGATAGCAAAACAGTTGGAGCTCAAATTCAAGAGCTTCAACTTATTTTTCACGACCTTATTACTGAAGGCATGGTAGTGAATGAAGCATTTAAAGTGGCTACAGTGATTGAAAAGTTGCCTCCTTCGTGGAGAGATTTTAAAAATTATCTAAAGCACAAGTGCAAAGAAATGAAGTTGGAAGATCTTGTTATTCGCCTCAAGATTGAGGAAGATAACAAAACAACCGAGAAGAAATCGCATGGAAATTCAACGATTATAGGAGTGAATATCGTTGAAGAGGCTGCTCCAAAAAGTAAGAAAAGGAAAAGGTCTTCTGGACAGACAAAGGAGCAGAACAAAAAAAAATTTAAGGGCAACTACTATAATTGTGGAAAAGCTGGTCACAAAGCCCATGACTGTCTTCTCCCCCGAAAAGGATAAGAAAAAGGGACATGTCAACATAGTGGAGAAGAATGATGACATTGATGATATGCGTGCAATGCTTTTAGAATGTAACTTAGTTGGAAATCCGAAGGAGTGGTGGATTGACTCTGGAGTCACTCAATATGTTTGTGCTATAAAACAAGCATTTGCTACTTACTCTACTGCTAGTCCCGAAGAAGAGTTTTCCATGGGAAATACTGCAACAGCCAAGATTGAGGGTTATGGGAAGATATTCCTGAAGATGACTTCCGGCAAAGTGTTAGCACTCAACAACGTTCTTCATGTTCTTACTATTAGAAAAAATTTAGTTTCAACTTCTCTACTTGTTAAGAATGGATTCAAATGTGTATTTGTATCTGACAAAATATTTGTAAGCAAGAATGATATGTATGTTGGAACGAGTTACCTCACAAAAGGCCTTTTTAAACTCAATGTAATAGTTGTTGACATTATTAATAAAATTTCAGCTTCTTTTTATTTATTAGAGTCAAATGATTTATGGCATGTTCGTTTATGACATGTCATTTACAAAACCTTACGGAAGTTAATTAATTTAGAAGTATTACCTAAATTCGAGTGTAATAAATCAAAATGTCAAATATGTATTAGAATCTAAGTTTATCAAATATCCTTAAAAGTCTGTTGAAAGGAATTTAAATCCTTTAAACTTAATTCATACTAACATTTGTGATACGAAGTCAACACCATCTCGTAGTAGAAAAAAGTATTTTATAATTTTTATTGATGATTGTACTCGATATTGTTATGTTTATTTACTTAATAGCAAGGATGAAGCAATTGAAGCATTTAAGCAATAAAAGAATGAAGTAGAGAATCAATTGAATAAAAAGATTAAAATGATTAGAAGTGATAGGGTGGAGAATACGAATCTCCTTTTGCAGAAATATGTTTGGAATATGGAATTATCCATCAAACTACTGCCCCCTACATACCTCAATCCAATAGAATTGCGGAAAGGAAAAATCGGACATTAAAGGAAATGATGAATGCTTTATTAATAAGTTTCGGCTTACCGCAGAGTTTGTGGGGGAAAGCTATCCTTACAGCTAACCGAATACTCAACAGAGTACCCCACAACAAAATACAGTTTATTCCATATAAAAAATGGAAAGGAAGAAAATCCAACTTGAAATATTTCAAAGTGTGGGGTTATTTAGCAAAGGTACAAGTACCTTTACCCAAAAGGGTAAAAATCGGATCAAAAACTGTGGATTGTATTTTTATTGAATATGCTACAAATAGTAAAGCATGTCAGTTTTTGGTTCATAAATTTGATAATCCCGAAATTCATGTTAATAAGGTAATTGAATCGGACAATGCTGAATTCTGTAAAAATATTTATCCGTATAAAACTGAATGTGAGTAGTCAAGTAAAAGATCTAAACGACCACGGGAAGAACCAAAGGAAAATACTCCAAGTGAAGAGGATCCAAGGCGTATCAAATGTCAAAGAACATCTACCTTTTTTGGACCAGATTTTGTGACATTCTTGCTTGAAAATGAGCCTCAAACTTTCAAAGTAGCTATGTCATCTTTTGATTTGACATTTTGGAAAGAGGCAGTCAATAGTGAGATTCAATCAATTTTGGATAACCATACATGAGAATTGGTTGATCTTCCTCCGGGAAAGAAGTCTTTAGGTTCGAAATGGATCTTTAAGAGGAAAATGAAAGTTGATGGCACTATTGA